AGGAAAATGAAGAAAAATATAAAGTTAGATCCTTGTGTAAAACCATATAATGAAATAAATTTTAGATGGTTTAAACATTTAAGTGTAGAAAATTAACCAAAAATAGTCTAGAAGAAAACGTATACTTACATAATTTGGGAACACCATTTTCCACCAAAGGTAAAAACCATAAAGGAAATAATTGACAGATTGAGTATATAAAAATGAAAAACATATGTAATCAAAAATGCTAAAAGCAATTTACTGGTCAAAGCAAACTCTTAACTCAATAATTGGAAGATATATGATAGAGAAAATATCTGATATCCTTAATACATTAGAGGCTCTTGTGGATCAGAAAGAAGTAGCAACTAAGTAATAGGAACCTGATGAAGACAAACGCCTTCACAAGTGTGTGCTCACACTTAGCATGAACATCGTGGGGCTAAAGGAGTGCCCCCACCAGATAGATCTGTTTTTCTGGTGTATCTGGGGAAGTAGGGGTGGGAAGGACGCTGGGATGATCAGGCAATTCTTGCCAAGGGAGGACACTGGTATATGACTATACCTTTTTTCTCTCTTTCCCCTTCATTGAAGCTGGGTACCTGAGGGTTACTGTAAATATTCAATAAGATTACCTTTGACCTTCTGCCCAACACAGACATAGATGCAACGAAGTTAATCTTGTCAATTTGCTGTTTTCTTATTTGACTTGAGGGGTGACTCAAGGGTCACAAGGATTTATGAGTTTGTTTCACAGAAGAAAAAGAATGCCTTCAAGGAAGTTCCAATCACCAGATAAGCAGCCCCCAGGTGTTGCTGACCCTAGAAGTCAGACTGCCCAGGGGCTTATTGAGAGTGAAAGAAACACAGGTTGTCTCTTTGTTTCTCTGGAACTCCTGCCAAGTCCCCTAGCTCTATAAAACCCTCTGCTTTCTGCTCTTGTTAAGGCAGATTTGAGAGAAACTATCCTCCTGCTTTCTTGTTTTGGCCAATTCGAATAAAACTTTTTTCATCTCCAAGCGCCAGTGTCTCAGTGATTGGCTTACTGCCCGTTGGGCACACGAACTTGAAATAAGAGGTTCAGAATCAACATGATCTCAACTTTTCATTTTTTCCTCCCACTTGATGTGGTGGTCATAGGACCAGGGCTGCAACTACAAGGGCTGGAAACAGGGATGATTCCTAAGCAAGAAACTGTAATTCTGTTGCTTAACCTTTATGTCATGGTTTCCAAGGGCTGGATGGAGCAGGATGTGCTTTCACCCATTTGGCAAAATTGGGGTTAAGAGTGAACTTTACTATATTACCTGGTGCTAACGATAGGCCACTAATTCTGCACCTGTAACTTCACCCTATGTGAACAGGAGTGGACTGAGGGGAGACGCTTACTAAACTAGTGTTGCTTCCTGCAATCTAGACCTGCACAGCAGCTGAACCTCACATCCCTTCCAAAGCTGGGAACGTTTGGGCTATAAATGGGGAAGGAAAAACAGCAGCTCAGGGTAAGAGAATAAATAAACGGGTTATGCGATGAGGGAAATCCAATATTACATGAACAGCTTGAAAGAAGCTCAGAGTAAGAGCCGATGTCTCTTAGCTGGATTATACCAGACGTCTGAAAGGGTGAACTCATATATTACTGAGATGACTCCCGCTTTCGGAATGTGACAAGATTGAATGGAAGCTGTAAACCCAAAGGGCCTCGCCCTGGGAGACATTTTCATATGATATGATGATGGACTGGATAATCATTAGTGACTGAATGAGATTCTAGTAATGTGCCAGTCTCTTTTGACCTTTATGATTGTTTGGCTATAATGGATCTGAGTTAGAGGACCAGGGGGTGGACTGTGACATTGTGATTTCTAATAAGAAATATATATTTGGTCTTTGACCCTGTTCCTGGCACAAAGCTTTTAAAACCCTTGGAATTTCCTGTGATAAGAGCCATAAAGGTGTCTTTTGTTATATTAATGAAGAGGCTTTTGGAAAGCCCCTAGGTAACCGAAAGATGGGGGCCTGGTTGCCAGGGAAACCAACAAGGTGATTAGAGGGTTGGAACTTTCGATTCCACTCCCTGACCCTCTGGGAGGGGAGAAACGCTGGAGCTTGAATTGATTGCCAATAGTCAATGATTTAATCAACCATGACTGTGTAACGAAGGCTGCATAAAAACCCAAAAGGACAGATTTCCAAGAGCGTCCAGGTTGGTGACCATGTGCAGGTTCTGGGAGAGTGGTTACCTGGAGAGGGCGTGGAAGCTCAGTGCCCTTTCCCCATGTCTTGCCCTATGTGTCTGTTCCATCGAGCTATTCCCGAGTCATATCCTTTTATAATAAACAGGTAATCTAGTAAGTAAGAGGTTTCTCTGAGTTCTGTGAGCCGCTCTAGCAAATTCGTTGAACCGGAGTAGAGAGTCTTGAGAACCTCCTACTGACAGCCAGTTGCTCAGAAGCATAGGCGACAACCTAGACTTGCTCTTGGCACCTGCAGTGGGGGCAGTCTTGTGGGGCTGAACCCTTAGCCTGTGGGATGTGATGCTGTCTCTGGGTACATAGTGTCAGAATCGGGTTGAATTGTAGGACACCCAGCTGGTGTCCCAAGAATTGCTTGTTGGTGTGGGGGACTCCCCCGACCCCCAACCCCACACACATTGAAATTGGTACCAGAACCTAGGAACAAACTGTGAAAGATAAGCGTCTTAGCTTGGGTTCCCATAACAAAATGCCATAGCGTGGGTGACTTAAACAACAGAAATTTATTTTCCCACAATTCTGGGGGCTGGAAGCCTGAGAGCAGGATGCCAGCATGGTCAGGTTCTGGCGAGGGCTCTCTCCTCAGCTTGCATAAGGTCCCCTTCTCACTGAGTCCTCAGATGGCGGGGTGTGTGTATGTGTGTGAAGAAACAGAAAGAGACATCTCTTCCACTTCTGATGAGGCCACAGTCCTATCTGATTTGGGTTCCACCATTATGACTTCATTTTCACCATAATTACTTCCTAAAGACCTTGTGTCTGGACATGGTCACAATGGGGGTCAGGGCTTCCATATATGAGTGGTGGGGAGACACAATTCAGTCCATAGCAATAAATAAAGAGCAAATAAATAGAAACAAAGGTTTGGCATTTATCTTTATCATTTCCTTTCTTTCTAACTTTACTGTCTTGCTCTTTGTCTAGTTTCTTGAACAAGTAGCTCATTTGTTTCTAATTTTTCTTCTTTTCAGATACGTATATGGAAGATATAATCTTTCTTATAAGTATTGCTTAATTCCATCCACCAGATTTTGTCATGTAGTGCTTTCAGCTATAAATATTTCCTGAGTTCCATGTGAGATCCCTTTCAATGCAAGGTTCTATAAGTTCCCGGTCATTATTATTATTTTCTTATCTGTTGCTCCTCTTACAAGTATGTAATGTTCCTCCTTGTCACCATGTTGGTTTTGTCTGGAGCTTTACCTCCAGATTTCTATAGAGATACTTTTTTATTGACAGGTAAAGGACAAAATGAGGAAATATTTTTGCTATATATGAGACAAGGTGTCTGTCTACACTACTGGGACAGTGTAGACTTCTAATCTTTCACTTATCCACTTTTGTGAAAAGCAATTCTAATATGGGCTCACTGAAGTCATTTTGGTCAACAGCAGAGGAAATTGATAATATGTATGTTTTCATCAGTCAGATAGTCCATGTTGTGTTGTACTCACAACAAACTCCCAAGTCTCAGCTAAAAATAACCAGGGTTTATTTCTCGATCATACTCCATGTCATCAGGGGCTGGCCTTGCTCAGTCTGGAGGATTGAGTAGATGGCAGCTAAAAGAGGCTCGATCCAACTTCTTGCACAACTGCCAGGCAGGAAAAACACACTCCCACTGTTTGCCGAAGGTTCTGTCTGGAAGAGACAACCTCATTTTTGCTCAAGTTTCATTCGCCAAAGGCTCACAGAGTCACATCTGACTTTAAGGGGCCAAGAAGATACATCCCTTCTGTGTGCCAGAGAAGAGCCGACAATATTTGGTGAACGGCAGTAATAGTAACTATACACTATGCTATATTGTGACTTCCAAAGCTTATTTTTGCTTTTTGTTTGTTGATTTCTCAAAAATTCCCTTCAGTTATGTGAGTTACCATAAATCCTTCTAGTCAATTTCTTTAATAAGAAAACTGAAGTTAGCCAGAGTTAGCTTCTATTGCTTAAAAAAAAAGGATCTAAGGCATTAGACTTGGCGTTATAAATGTTACTGAGTGGCTTAGGAAAGTGAACTTCAGTTTACACCTTGGGTTGGTTTTGAAGAAAGGGTACACACCGATTTTTGAAGGATAAGGTTTTAATAGGAAAAGAAGCAGGGCATGGCATGAGCCAATATTTAGATCCGAATAATTATTGGTGGCTGCAGCATGTCAGGCAGGGAGCCAGCTGTTTTTGCATATGCTCTCTAAGTCAATTTAATTCTTTATAAAAACAATATGAGGTGAGTCTTACTATTCATCACTTACATATGCAGAAACTGAGGGTCAGGGAGGTGAAATGACCTGTCCGAAAGTCGCTTAACTAGCAAATGATGGCTTTGTTTTAACTCTATCATCTGATCAGGCAGAGGTGAAAGAGAAGAATGCAATGTGTGTTTTTGGGTAGTGGGTACTGTTCGGTTTGGCAGGACTGTGGGATACACGAAAGGCGGAGGGACCCTTGAGTGCTAAGGCAGAGAGTTAGAGTCTATCAGGTAGGCAGTGAGAGGAAGGTTTCTGCATCAGAGAGGGCACTGGTGGAGCCATGCCTCAGAGACATTGATCTGCTATTGTCCTCTACGATGAAGATGAAGAGAAATGAGGCACGCTGGAGGCCTGGAGACCAGTTGGAGGAGCATTGTAAAAACGCTCATAGGCCTGAATGGGCATGGGTGTTGGCAATGGAAAAAGAAAAAAGTATTCTACCCAGTCTCCAGACCCCCAGGGAATTGCTGAATGAAGTCTGAGTTCTCCCTATGTAGATAGCTCCTACTTTTCATTATAGGTTTCTCAAGAGCTTGCTCCCAGAAAAAACCTGGATGGAGAACAAAACAGGTAAGTGCCCAAGTGAGAAATCTACAAGGCTCCTCTCCCCCAAAATCACCTCTTCCCCATCAGTTGTGGGGCCTAACATTTCACCAACGGGGTTCCGTTCTTTCAAGAGTCTCTTATTTAAGTAGGACTATCTGTGGACAAGAGGGAGAAGGGACACTGCGAAGTGTCCTCATTAGCAGCATCCAGGCAAGTAACATAAATGTATGAGGGCACTCTGGGGGGGCACCGTGAAGAACAGGGCACATGCTCCATGTCAGGGGGGCCTCTCGGTTCTGGCTGAGGGGCCCAAAGTTGCTGGATCTACTATTTCAGCAGAAACCTCATAGCCAAATATTTTGGGCAAGTCCTCAATTTTGCAACATTGCAACCAGTTTAAACTTCTTAATATCACTGCGCTGGCCACATTTAGCTCTTAATTTGTTACCAGTTTGCCACCTCTAGGTTAAATGTTAGTACCATTTTATCAAAACCTTTCCAAATTTGAAAGCACATCTTTAGTAAAACTAGCTACAGAGCAGGTTTATTTGGATTGCCGAGAGCGGGGATAGAGGAGTCTGGGAGCCAGGCAGGGACTGTAGGGAGGTCCCTGGACCACGTGCTGGGCATCCTGGTGCCTGAGCTTCAAAAGGGAGATGGACCACGGCAGTGACAATATTTGCTGCAACCGGGCCCTCCTGGGCGACCACCCAGAGCTGGGCTTGGAGCCGAAGGAGGGAGGGCAAGCTGTGCTGCTCCCAGCTCCAGTTGGCCCCTTCCCATTAACATTACAGGAGTGCAGTCGCGTGGTGTTTGAAAAAGCATCCCTAGTTCCAAGAAATGATTTACAGGACACCAGACTCTGCATTTCAGAGGTCTCCGGTGTACCATAAAAAATATATTCTAAAGGAATAATCTTTATCTGAGCTGAAGCTGCAGTGAAGGAAGCTCACGTCCAGCTGAGAGCAGCAGTGAGCTTCTGTTCACTCAGGGAAAAGTCTGTGTTCTTCGTCTTATTGGATTAACATTTTTTTTCTCTCTTTGGCACTAGGTATCTAGTTAATATTTAGACATTATATACATTTTCTTTCAACTGTTGTCCCTGTTATGCGATCAAACAAAACCGGAGATGCCAACCACATCAGCCCTCTAGGCGAAAGGAGACCCTCCAAGCACCCAGCTGTGGCTAGCAGGGTAAACAGGACTCACTGGAGCCAGCCTCTGGGAAAGACTGGCGCCAGGTGCGTGCAGGGCCAGCCCCTGCCCCCAGGAAGCAGAGTTCGCTGGAGTGCCTCAGTTGATCGCTCTGCCTCTTCCTGCTATGCCAGCCTCGCGTTTCCTCTACCTCCCTGAGCAAAAGGAAACAGGAAGCAAAGTCTAGTTTTGAATGTTTCAAAGCCTTCTGATGTTTACCATTCCCCCCAGAAGAGGGAGGTGAGGGACGGAAATCTCTCTGCAAAGAAGATACTTTCTTTTTTTTTAAAAATTCAATGAAGCGATGCACACACACACACACAGCTTCTCCAACTTCTCTCTGCTTATAACTTCTCTCTGCTTATTAGGGCGATGATAGTCTCAGTCTATTTTAGTCCAGGGAAATCTGAACTCCTTTAGCGGCAATGGCCCCCAAGGGACGCATGTGCATCTGTGGTTCAGGGTGTCGAGGAGGAGACAGCCTCTCCTTTTGGAGCAGAAAGCACAGTCAACCGGTGGCGGGACAGAGGCAAAAGCTCCAGGACAAGGAAATCTGTGGGTTTGTGTCGAAGCTCCACCAATCAGGAGCTTCAAGCTAAGATGGGGAGGCTGGAAAGATGGAAGTTGGGATGGGAATCCTGGTACGGACAAGAAATTCCTCCTGTGTCAACGGCAGGAGGATGTCCAGGAAGGGAGAAGGGCGGGTCACGGATGGACCGAGTTTGCTTGGAGTCCCATGAGAAAAGGGGAAGCGAGAGCTCACCATCTTGTGGCCCCCAGCTTCCTGGTGCGTGGCACTGGCGGCGGGCGGCGGGCTCTACATCTCTGAAAGTATCGGCAGAGGGAAGGAGAAACTGGCGTCCCAGGCTCCCAGGGGAGGGGAAGCACCCGGGATTGGGCGGGGAACCCCTCCAGCATGAATGTGGTGCGGGGCGGGGTGCGGGGCGGGGTGCGGGGGGGGGGAGGGCACGATCTCCGCTTTGCTGGGTGCCCCAGCCCTAGCGCACGCCTCCATTCCGTGTCCCACTCCGCAGGCGCGCGCGAGGCGCACTCCCCCTTCCCTCGGCGGCGCGGGGCGCGCGCCCGGGCCCCTCCGCCTCCCCTCCGCGCCTCTCCTCTCTCCCGGCAGAAAGTTAGCAGCGGGGAAGGAACTCGGGGCTGCAACAGCGCGCGGCGGCGGCGGCAGAGGCTGAAGCAGGAGCCGCGGCGGAGCCGGGGAAACGGGGGCGCTGCAGACGGAGCAGGTGCAGCCGGCGGGTCCGCGCGCCCCCCTGGTCCCCTTGCCGGAGGCTGAGGGGGGGTGGTGGGGGCCACCCGGACTCCGCGGGAAGAGTGGGGAGGGGGCCATGCAGCCGGGCTCTCCCCGCGCAGCGGGACAGCGGCCAGGGCCGGGGTGCAGCGGCGTCGCTTCACGCAGCCGGGGCGGCTGGGCGGCGGCGGCGGCGGCTGAAACCATGTCCGGGCAGCGCCGGGGGCTGCCGGCCGCCGCCGCCGCCGCCGCGAGCCGGGAGCCACGATGGCCCCGTGGCCCGCACCTCCTCCGCCTCCGCCTCCGCCTCCACCTCTCGCCGCGCCGCCGCCGCCCGGCGCCTCTGCTAAGGGGCCGCCGGCGCGCAAGCTGCTTTTTATGTGCACCTTGTCCCTGTCCGTCACCTACCTGTGCTACAGCCTCCTGGGCGGCTCGGGCTCCCTGCAATTCCCCCTGGCGCTGCAGGAGCCGCCGGGCGCCGCCGCTGAGCCCCCGCCGAGCCCGCCGCCACCCTCTCTGCTGCCGCCCCCCGTGCGCCTCGGCACCCCCTCGCAGCCGCCCGCGCCGCCGCCGGACAACGCGAGCCGCGGGGAGCCCCCGGAGCCCTCCGAGCAGCCCGCTGCCCCCGGGGCCGACGGCTGGGGGCTGGCGAGTGGCGGCGGGGGCGCTCGGGACACCTGGCTCCGGACCCCGCTGGCCCCTGGCGAGATGATCACGGCGCAGAGCGCGCTGCTGGAGAGGGAAGCGCAGGAGTCCAGCACCACAGACGAGGAGCTCGCAGGCCGGAGAGCGGCCAACGGGAGCAGCGAGAGGGGCGGCGCCCTCAGCACCCCCGACTATGGGGAGAAGAAGCTGCCACAGGCGCTCATCATCGGGGTCAAGAAAGGAGGCACCCGCGCGCTGCTGGAGGCGATCCGAGTCCACCCGGACGTGCGGGCCGTGGGCGTAGAGCCACACTTCTTCGACAGGAACTACGAAAAGGGGCTGGAGTGGTACAGGTAGGACCCTGGGCTCGGCGCGGGGGATAGATGCGTGGGGAAGACCCAGAGGGAAAGCTGCGGCTTCCCACGCCCTTCGACATCCAGGCACCTCCCCGAGAGCCCTTCGCCCCACGAGGGCTCTGCGGACCCTGGCAGGGCTGCTCGGGGGAGCGTGGAGAGGGCTGGAGGCTGGCCAGGGATCACTGTATTTTAGGGCGAGGGGAGCTGGTGTCCCACTGCCCTGCCTGTCTCAGGCTCCTCACCCAGGGTGGTGCTTTCTGAAGCTGCCTAGCTCCACGCCTGGGAATCCCCAGCCCAGGTGCCCGCGGGCTGTTTCCCAGCCCAGGCTCTTGTGGGGCTCTACGCTGTTGCGTTGGGGACGCTAAGTCATGAAGCACGACAGCTAGATTGACTGAAGGGCTTTGAGATCTCCTGGAATCTCTCAAAATCGCCCTCAAACGTATTTGCGTGTCTGGAATACGACTTTAGTATTTTCAGCTTAGAGCAAAATGAACAGGGAACAGTTAAAAAGATGATGTTGGTGAGTTTTGGCTTGCCAGAAAAGACTGAGGATGTTCCCCATCTCCAGGACTTTCTATCCCCAGGTGGCTGCATGAACCCTGGGTTGATTTTGCATCAGGAGCATCAAGGTCTGCACGACAGTCGGTGCCCTAAGAGTTTTTACATCCTGCACCCCTGCCCTTTCTAACTGGCACCTCCTTGGCAACAGATTAGAGCTTATGTCTTGTGAGATGTTCATCTCCCTTCTCTTCCACCGTCTCCCAGCGGTGAGGGAAAGGAGAGGAAAGTAGAAAGTTAAGTGCAGGTAAAATAAATTAGTAATCTGGCTTTCTTGCCAGCCATAACATTTAAAAAACACTGGAGCAGAAGCCCAAAAGGCAAACCTCCTTTGCTTTTTTTTTTTTTTTTTCCTTCTCTCTTTCCCCTTTGCTCTCTCCCTGGAAAACAGATCTGGATGGCTGGCCCCATCTCTGTTGCATCTCAGTAATTAATTGCAATTGTCAGACAGAAACAGGGGCTTTGTCAGCTAAAGTGATGTTATCATCTTAACAGAGCCAGTAGGTAAAATAAGGATTGTTTGCTGACAAGTTGCCTTGCTGTTGAAGAGATGTGCTTTCTAAGTTTAAATTACAGCCTGTGAAAGTTTTAGAAATAACCTAACTTCAGAAATATATAATAAATGTGTGTATTGTGATTGATTTCTTCCACTTTTAAAAATATGCCTATGCTTTCAAAGCTTGAGAGAAGTACACTTAGGCATGAACATTCCAGCACATTAAACGGGAAACAGCAAATGTGTCTGTTAATGTCTTGTCTGTTTCAACAGAGAGAACTAATTGCAACATTTTAGGAGGCTGCAAACAGCCCCTTCCTATCAAAACAGAAAACAGCAAATGCCTAATTGAACTGGAAAATCAGTATTTATAACATCGCAAGCCATGGCTTCCAGTTTGCGATTATAATTAAAAAGGTGTTAGGATGATTAATGCAACAACAGCAAACCAGAGAAAGAAGGGGATGTTTGGGAAGGTTTCGGTTGTTTAATTGTTGGTTGTAGGAATGTTCTGATTTCTGCTGTGGGGTAGCTTCAGCCCTATGAGGGTCAGTGTGGTGTTTTCCAGTTCTAATTTTAAAGCTGTGTATCTTGTGAGAAGTGTCAGATGCCCTTTGGGGGAGAGGAAGGCCTGAGGATCAGACCTTTCCAACGTGTGTTGTGTTGCTTTGTGGCAGCTGGATATAGAGATGGGGTGTTTGATTCAGGTGACTTGAAATAACGTTGATGACGTGTGCGTGGTGGAGTGGGTGTCAGGAGGTCCCATCGTAGGGTCTGGAGAATTTTCTGAATGAAAGGATAGAAGATGCCAGATTTTCTCACGTTGTTTTACACTGTGGCTGGGAAAGGAAGGTATGAACTGGCCTCACTGTCATGACATGGCTACTGAAGATGTCATTACAGCTCTGTGGTACTCTCACCATCACTTGTGGTATTTGGGCCTTGTGGTATTGGGTGTCAGTATTTGGTAGCCACCTGTAGAACTGTTCCACTGAAGAGGTGTGGACAGAACTGGATCCTCTTGATCCTCACTTCAGAGGACCATGCGGTGTCTCTGTGTCCTCGATCTGCTACCCCAGTGACTTGCCTGTGGGAGACCCTTAGGCTCAGTGGTGCCGATTGGAAGTGCGGGAGGAGAATCTGTCTAACATAGAGGGAATCATCAGCCACCCAAACCTGGCTGTTGAGAAGACTCCCAGAAACCCCTTGGACCTGCAGGAGCCGAGTGGGCTGGCACTGGCCTTGGACCGCTCTCCAGCCTCACGAGGGACAGCAGTGCTTTGAGGACATTTGTGGGATTTTTACTTGCTGCACCTCTTCAGGCTCCTCTTTCTCCCATGAAGGAAGAGGGGATGACAACCTCACTCTATTGTAGAAAAGGAAACAGTGGCATTGATTCAAACCATTAACAGAAACCCTTCCTCTTGGTTCCTTGGTGCAACTCCATCTTTTCAGTGGTGGCATCGGTACTTAAATGGTTATACCACGTATTCTGCCTGAAATCTTACTCTACTATTTAACTGGTTAGAGATCCACAGGTTAATTAAAGCCTTTGATTTGCCCCCATATATTTATTTTGTTTTTGTTTTTCTTTTCAGTGTGTTTTCCAATAGCCTACTAATTCTGCTAGTGTTTCTGTTCTGGTTGTGTTTTCAGCAAGAGGGAGAGCGAGAAGAAATTGGGGCTGCTCTCAGCACAGCTGGCTTGGGGTTTCCTCATATCCACCTAGGCAGCCCGAACAGATTTATTTCTAGTGTCACTCCAGTTATATCTAAATCTGGGTTTTGCTTTCTCCTGTGCAGTTGATCTAACGTGAGTCAAAGACACATCTGAGATGAGAACATGTGCATTGGATTTTCAGGGCAGGATGGACTGATGGATTAGGATGTGTGTGTTAAAGCTATGGAGAAGCAAGCCTCACTTGGTGGATGGACAGAGGCCAGTGATTAATAAGTGGGAGTAGATTAAACCCTCCACTCCTTCCTCTGTCCACCCCCCAAATAAAAGGGTAAAGCCAGAACACACCTTTCAGTATGAGCCGATACACTCTGGCTGTGCAGAGACCTGAACTCTCCTAAGGGATGGGACCTTGTGGCAGGCCAACTGGCTGCCACAGCAGAACTCATCAAAGTGACAGAGACGACTCGAGCTGTGGCCTCCCTCGTGGCTTACAGACTGAACAGTAACCACGACCACTTTGCTCTGGGAGCCACTCAGCTCCAGGGTGATGAGAAGTGACCTTCCACGGTTTCCAGTTGTCTGCAGTGGTAGCAGTTAGTACGCAGGTCCCATTGGCTGGGGGAAAATAACTCAGGAAAACAGCTTCAGTCATGCTCATGCCACACAGAGGAAAGTGGTCAGCAGCGTTATTCGCATGTGGTATTTGGAGAGAATGAAAGAGGACAATGGAAAGGCGCTAGCATTGATTGAATGCCTGTGATTGTGGTGGTTGGTGCTTCACAGGCATGTTATCACATCGGGGCGTCATGATGAGGCTGTGAGTTAAACAGCAACTTTCCTGGTTGACACTCCAGGTGGCTCCCGGAGGGTGAACCACTTGCTGAAGGTTGCTCAGCTGGTCAGTGGTTGAGTTGACCACATCTGTCCAATTTCAGAGTGCTGGTTTCTTTCCCTGTACCACACTGCCGCACAGAAAGTACTAGAATATCTTTTCCTTCTTTCATTCAACAAACACTTAATAACGTTTACCATGTGCCCAGTACTGTTTTAGGTACTGGGGATAAAGTGGAGAACAAGACAGAGGGAGGACCTGTTCTTGTGGAAATGACATCTTTTAGTAGGGCGGTAGGGGAGACAGCAAACAAATGGTCTTTCTTTTAACCTTTTTAATGTGGCTGTAGAAAACTTAAAATGACACTTGTGACTCCCATTGCATTTCCACTGGGCAGGGCTCCTGTAGAGCAGTGCTTTTTAAACTTGAAATGCACGTGGATCACCTGGGGTGTTGTTAACATGCAGATTCTGATTCAGCAGGTCTGGGGAGGGGCCTCAGACTCTGCATTTCTAACTTCCCAGTTGATGCTGATGCTGCTGATCCCTGAACCTCACTTTGAGAAGCAGGCGTCTAGAGAGTAATTGGGGTGTGTGTGTGTGTGCATGCACAGATATTATTTTAAGTCAAATGGTTAGGGGAAACCTCTCTGTGGAGGAGATGTAAATGAAGTGAAAGAGTAAGATCCTGCCATGTGAAGATCTAGGTGGAGAGGTTTCCAATAGAGGGAACAGCAGGTACAAAGGCCCTGAGGTGGAAACAGGCCTTATGGCCTTACAGAGTGTTCTTTCATTATTTCAAAAGCAAGGTGTTTGTAGCTGGACAAAATTGGGTTTTGCAACTTACTAGTTAGATGATCTTGGTTGGATAACTGATTTAACATCACTCATTTTCAACTTGCTTATCTGAGAATATTTCCTTCCTTGCAGGATTCTTGAGAGGAATAAATTAAATACTAAAAGTGAATGTATTTTCTAAGCAAAAAGTGAGTATCATAGACCAAAAATCCAAATGGACTCAACTACTGGGTTTTTCCATTTCTCAAATCCTTTTGGTCTCATATGCCTTACCTTCTGTCACAGCTGTCTTAATAGTGAGAGAAGAGTCTCTTATTGGGGGTGTTTTTAGGAAAAGTCTAATAATGATTGGCTTTGCAGTCTACATCTGCTTATCCTCTTAAACCAAGGGTCACCAACTCACATGCCTTCTGGGCCCACAGCGATTGTATAAATGAGTTCAATAGACCAGGTGGGGAGAAACTGGGACGCACATGCTCTGTCTAAAGGGGCAGCTACTCTTTTCCACGTGCAAACGTGGCATCAGGGTTATCAGATCTTCCACTTGGTGAGAGAAACTGGAAATCCAGTTTTTGATGTGAAATTATCTGGTTTTGAATGTTGGCAACAGATGGAAATTTCTTCCGAGTGCAGT